CCGGAAAGTCGCGTGGAAAACATTGCGCCAATGAATTTTGATGCAGGAGTTGATGCCGGTCAGAATCAAAATGCTGTTGTTGTTGTGGCGATTGGGACGACACCTGGCTCAGCTGATTGAGCTTTCTGTCACAGGCACAAAAACGCCGATTGTTTTGGTGGCGAACAAGTGTTCTTGTTTTTCAGTCTGTAAAACGTTGTTTTCATACGATGGAAATCAAACTTGAAAACCTTCTCTCTGTGCGAGGTATTCTAGGAACCAGGAATCTTTTTATTGAATTAACAACAATTTTTTCTCAAGTTGGCAGGGTGGTGCCTCGAGATGTTGATGTCAGCAGCTTTGTTTCCGCAGAAGAGTACAAGCAGTTTTTTAGTGATTTCACAGCATTTGACATTTCACTATTGGATAACTACAAAGATAAATGGGTCCTCGTTCCTACTCCGGTCAACATTTACTTGGGAGAAGTTTTCTCCTTTTATCTTACCTGCACGAATGATTCCATTCAAGAGGTGATGACCAACGTGCACATTCGCATTGACATGCAAAGTGGAAATCGAGCCATTTTCCTTAAAGAATTCAACATTGAAACACTTGATGCAAAGGCGACCATTGATACTGTTCTTGGTCATGAAATCAAGGAACCCTTTACTCATGTGTACGTGTTTTGATTTGTGACTTTGGCTAACTGGGTTTTCTTTGCAGTTTAATTTGTACAATGGGCTTTAATATCGCCGGTCATGAAAGGCAAACATGTCGAAGGTTTTTCCAGTTTCAAGTTTCAAAGCCAATTGATGTCAAGACAAAGTCTTATTACACTGAGGTAATCAATTGGTCATTTTTTACAAAATAACATTTACACTTTTTGCAGAGCGATGAAATATACCTAGAAGCACTGTTTCAAAATTTGACCAACTTGCCAATACAGTTGAAAAATGTGAACCTCGAAAGCAATGACTTTGAAGTATCTTCGTTGAATTTCATGCAGAATGATAGTTCTGAAAAGTGGATATTCGGTCAAGTGAATCGACTCAACACCATGGAATCGCGGCAATACTTGTTTATGCTTAAACCCAAAGAGGAGGCTCGAATCAACCCAGCTTTAATAAAGGCAATCACCACGATTGGCAAGTTGGACATTGTGTGGCTGTCAGGCATCGGCGAAAAGGGACACATTCAAACATCACAACTTGAAAGAACGGTCTGTTTCTAAAGTCTTTTTACTCATCTTTTAAAAGTATTTTTTGTTTTATAGACATCAAGCGGTGATAGCATAAAAATATTTGTCGATGAAATACCAACGCAGGTGTACATCAATACTATATTCAAAGTAAAGTTTCGCATTGTCAATTGCAGGTAGAAAAGTTATATTTTGGCTATAGTCATTTACTGATATGATTTGCTTTTACCAGTTCAAAAGAAGTGGAGCCAACGCTGCACTTTGTCAACACTGAACACCAGAACATTCAGTGGCTTGGCCTGGCGAACAAGACGCTCCAGCAACTGAAGCAGTCAGAAAGTGCCGATGTGGAGATGAGACTGTACCCGACAAAGGCTGGCCTCTTTAGCATTCCTCTCGTCAAAGTGGCGGACTTTATTTCCAAAGAAAACTACGATTATAAAGAATTGGCATTTGTAAACATAATTTAATGCTTTGCGTATAAAAAGAGAATGTTCTAGTGTTAAAGAATGTATATTTTGCAAATATATTTTTGGCTCATCTGACTTAAGTAGTGACCTTAACTCTGTCCACCCTTATCAGGATTCTCATCCTGGCCACCATCTCCAGGCTTTTTGAACGCACTCTTGAGCTGTTCCACCAGCTCAGGGTTGGCCTCTTGCATTTGTTGAGCGAATTGTTGCCCACTGAAAGAGAAAAGGTGAGTTTACATTTAGAAAAATTACTTGAACACTTACGCTTGCAAAAATGCATCGAGGCCACCGCCGGCACCAGGACCACCGGCACCGCCCTCGCCTTGTTCCCCACCTTGTCCAGCCATGGCGTTGCTCATTAAACCAGATAGCATGTTGCGCATATTAGGATCGGTCATCATCTGAGAGGCAAAGTTCATCAAGTTTGGGTTGTTGAGAATGTTGCCCAGATTGAAACCCGAGCTGAATTGAGCTTGCTCTTCCTGCGAAAAGTACGATTGTGCATCAGATTAAACGTTTATCAACACTGCACAATTTTTCGTACCTGAATCTTCTGTTCGGCCAGCTCCAAGTTTTTAGCATTACTTTCGCTAGGATCCAGTTCGACCGCNGCATCAGATTAAACGATTATCAACACTGCACAATTTTTCGTACCTGAATCTTCTGTTCGGCCAGCTCCAAGTTTTTAGCATTACTTTCGCTAGGATCCAGTTCGACCGCTTTCTTGTAGCAGTCTCGAGCGCGCATGTGGTCGCCCAAGTTTACGTAAGCAAGGCCCATTCTGCAGTAAGCTTTACTGTAGTTGGGATCATGCTTGATGGCAATCTTGCAGTCTTCCAAAGTGGCTTGATAGTTTTCCAGCTTGCTATGAGCAGCAGCTCTACAAGAGACGGGAACGTTGGTTTTACGGTTGTCAACACAAAATAATCAAACTTACCGATTGCAGTAGTATATTGGATTAGTTCCGTCAATTTGAATGGCCTTAGAGTACGTTTCAAGTGCTTCGGTGAACTTGCCATTTTTCATCAGTTCATTGCCTTCATTTTTTAAAACATCAGCCTTTGCTTTGTCTTCATCGGAAATCACAACAACTTTAGCACTTTCCGCCTACACAACAAAATGTGCGTGTTTGAAAAAATGCGGCACAAAAGTACAGTTATAAGCTTACCTCCTTGTTGTTCTCCAAATAAGATGCAAAGATGTCAAGAAGTGGCTTCTTTGAAGGCAATGACCCGTCAACAGGATTGATGTTGAAGGCGGTCTCCAGACACTGAATTGCAACTAAAGTGAAAGCAAAGCAAAAGGATAAGATGAAAGCGGCAATAACAACAACAAATCAAGTGTACCTTCGATGCTCTCCTTTGCGTCGTCCGTCAACTCGTTGTTTCCCAGTTGTTCATTGAGGAACTGCATGAACGACGCCACCAGTGACTGCTTTGGGTTCTTGTCGGTTGACATTTTAAAGTGAGAAGTGATCAAAGTTTGGAAGAAGTTTAGATCAAGTGAAAGTGAAAGCAATACAGGTTTCTTCACTCCAGTGCGGCAATGCCTTCCTCAGTGACTAAGCTTTTGGAGATATTTCTTGAATTTTTTGGGTGACAGACTGCCGTATAGTACGTAAT